GAGACGAATGGACTTTCTTCACCGTCTTCTTCGGCCTGTGGGATCTGCTCGAATACTCTACGTTGGAGAAGCCTGTGGCCATGTCCGCAGTGGACAAGAGCATCGAGTCCCTCTTCCACAGTCTCGACATCCTGGCCGAACACGCAGCCCACCCGCCCAACGTCGTCATACCCAAAATGATCGACGCATCTTTCCTCCCGCAATTCCAATTACAAAAGAAAGCCATGCGGGAAGCCGATTTCGCGGTGACTCAGCACCGAATGGTTTTTCTATGGTCATACTGGAACATAGTCTTACTTCGGAAAGCTGCAGAATGGAAAAACGGCGCCATCTACATGCCCGAGCCAAATGCTATCATCATGAACGAAGTGCGCGCCAAACAACTGCACTCGAGGCAGATTTCTGATGCGACCGGTGTGGGTGCCCAAGCACCGCTTTTCGAACACGTCGATACGCCTTGTTTGGATGCTGTGAGGGGGAGTGGATTGGTTAAATGCTCGGCCCCGACTGAGCACTTATTTTGGTAAGTTCATAAGCCTCGTCTTTGATCACTTAATACATCTACTGCTTTCACGCTATACGCACCTTAGTCGCTGCATAGCACCACGCTCCTTTCAAGCCACAAGTCATAGTACAGCACAATCGCTTTGTCTCTGTTTCAAGCTAACGGGATGATGTGATAGGGATAATATTCAACTCAGTGGGCCGGCTCATGAACTCATTGGCAAACATGCCGCGAACTTGGTACGCGGGAATCGGAGTATTAATGCTGTGCGGGAGAAGAGTGAGGAAGAGAAGAAACAGGAAAACGAGCGAGTGCAGTTTAAGCTCAAGTTTCCTCCAGGGTATTAGCACAAGACACTGTCTGGAACTCGGCCAAGGCTGAACGGCTCTTCCTGCTTCCCCGCGACACGGACACGGACCTAGGAAAGAGGGACAGATCGGAAGAGCAAGAGGGAGTCCGCTTTGACCTCAGGTTTCTTCGGGGATACTATCACAGGTCGTTAAGAAAGTGTCTGAGACCTCGCCAACAGAACGAAGTCTCCCTCGGGTTGTCAGCACAAGTTGTCAAAGACACTGTTTGGAACTTGGCCATGGCTGAGAAGAGCTTCGTGGAACTACCTGGTCACCCGCGACACGGGGTAAAATGCGCCTCGCTACAACCAGGACGGCATATGGCGCCGAGGCGCAGTATGACTGCGTCGTTTTCAAGACTGAGCCACAGTCATTGTCATGAAAGAGAATGTTGTATTGTTGGCGAGGACTGGGGAAGTGGGGAGGGTGGAGGGGAGGCGGAAATCTCTGAGGTCTATTGTCTCCCTGGCCCGCGCCCGTCTTTCGATGCTTTGACTGCATACACCATCAGTCGTAATAGGGGAGACTATCGTCTACAGCTTCGCTTCTGAGCTGAGCCACAACCGTTGCGATGCGGCACTGCAATGCGGGAAGGTGTTGCATTGTTGGCGCCCCTTGCATAAGCCGCGCATCAAAGTACCACTCCAATGACGAACGCGAGACAAGACCAGGCCCTGGTCTGAGACAAAGCCCCGGCTCTTATTTGCATAGCTGACGCAGGAATGTACATGTCTCGCGGTTGGTGGAAGCTCGTCTTGGCACGCTCCCGAAGCAGTAGAACAAAGAAACCGCCAGCGCAGATCGGCTGCATATGACTGGAACAATCATTTTACTGGATCACGGCTGCTACCATCGTCAAAGCGTCAAAGATCCAACTCTAGCTACCGGCTAATGCATTCAAAGATACGGACATGTTGTTAATGGTTCGTTACCAACGCGGCTGTTCCCTCCCTTCGTGTCCGACCGAGGACAATGAACCGCGCCTTCTTTTATCGGAGTCATTAGGTCAGCTGCCGCGTCTCTAGAAATCGAAAATGCTAGCCAGTCGAGTGTTGCCACCGATTGTTTGGACTTTGACTCCTTCTTCTCCCCATTCTCCGCCTGTCGCTACCTTCTTTCACGTGCCGAGGCGGTACGTCAAGACAAATATGCAGATTGGTGATACCTCTCCAGTGTCTCCGGTGGACGATTCGAAGCCTTCGGGGAACTTGCGCAAGAGCAGTCGGATCAACGAGACGCGCCCAGCTTCCACGTCTATTCCTACTGCTGAGCGTACTAAGAGGGACGAACCGCCAGCCTCTCCTGCTTTGTCGTCTCCGAGGACTACAAGGAAAAGACCTTCGCCGCTGATTGAGATTGACGGGGCCGACGACTTGATCAGTCCATCTGACGATAAACCTCCCCCGAGTGCTTCGTCCGCTACAGCTGGCGGCGAGCCAGACTTCTCAGGGCATGTTTGCTTGTGTCAGCCAGAGCCGAAAATACCGCGTCCGCGAAATGGTAAGTCGATATTATCTTCCTTTGTCTTGGATGTACGTCACTTTCCTAATCGGAGCATTTAACTCGGATTTGACTCAGAACAAAGACACCCATCATTGTTTGCGGTCATTCTTGCGCAGCCTGCTGACCATTGCCTTATAGCTTTTATCCTTTATCGACAGCACCACCAGCAGGCCATTACCGCTCGTAATCCGGGTCTCAACAATCCTGACATCTCAAAGATTATCGGTGAACAGTGGAAGGCTGAGGGTGAAGAGCAGAAGAAGGTTTGGCAAGACCTTGCGCAGGTTAGTGGCCCTTGGCACCTTACCCTCCATTGTCTTTGTTAATGTGAAGTTAGGAAGAGAAGGCTAGGCACCAGGAACAATACCCCGACTATCGCTACCAACCGCGTCGTCTTGGCAAGCCTGGGTCGTCGCCGTTGAATCCTACTGGCCAGCATACGACAGTTGACAAGTACCGTTGTCACAAGTGTGGAGGCCGCAGTCTGAGAACACCTACCAGTCCTTTCCTCGACGCCTCTGGCACCCCGACTCTGCCGCCCCCTAACATCTCGGAAGGCCTCACGCCAACAACTCGTTACCTACCCGTGATGAGTAACCTTAGCCTTGAGTCGCCCGGTCTTCGCCGAGGCCCCATTCCACCAAGCCTCAGTAACATTCAGCTCAATCCGACCATGCGTGGAGACACGATGATGTATAGCCCTTTGACGCCGAACAAAAAGCGCCGCTTCGACCAAGGGCCTCCGCCAACGAGTAACGGTCGTAGACCAGATGGATCGCATAACGGCCCGATCCAGCAATACGCTGTCTATCGACGCGAGTCTCTGCCGCCCATCCATGTGACGCCACACAGTGCGACAATGCCTCCTCCGCGGACCCCTCGCGAGATGCGCCATCAGTCAATGGTTGAGCTAGGATCTCTACAGTCCGATGGCAGTCCCAAGAGCGTAGAGGAAGTTCTCAGTGCTTTCCCATACCCCAACAAGATCAAGCTTCTCGGACGCATAACGCCACCTTATCAATACAAAGAGCCCGGTTCCTCCAGCCCATCCTATCGCGCCAACCGCGGAGCCATCATCGCCATCGAAGGCGACGACCCCGCCGCCGTCAAAGAACTCACAGAATGGCTCAACGAATATCTCATCAAGCAAAAGGAATACAGCCCCCAAATCGCCGAGCCACCGCAAGCCCCCATCGACAACGCCGATAGAGAAGTCACATTCGAAAACTACCTCGACCTAATCAAAGAATGGCACGCCAAAAGCAAGGAAATGATCAAATACATCACCACCACACCAACCTCATCCACAGACACCCCGTCACCCAACAACAGCGACACAATCATCGTCTCCACAACAGACACCCGCAAAGACTCCGCCACACCCCCCGACTCCCCCTCCCACTCCCTTTCTTCCACCAACCCCGCCATCAAACCCGTAATCCTACTCCCAACCTTCCAACTCGCCGCCTCCATCGCCTACGCCTCCCGCATCCCCATCCAAGATGCCTACAGCCCAACCGACCACTGGCAGTGGATGGCGACGCTGTGGCGCGGCACCATAGGACCCGATTTGACGCTGTATGTGAAGAGCTTTGATCCGAAGGAGGGGCAGGTGGGGCTGAAACCGGAGATGGACGAAGGGGTTAGGTGTTTAAGTGTTTGGAAGGCGTGTGGACCTGGAGGCAGGTTTGCGGATGCGGATTTGAGGAGGGTGGGGTTTGAGGTTGGGGAGTGGGTTAAGGGATAGGGTGGTTGGGGTTGGGGGTTGTGTGGGTTGTGAGATTAGGGGCTTTCTATTCTTTGGGTTTCTTTTCTTTTTTACTCTTCTTATCTTTCGGGAGAGAGGCGACTCTGGTGTGAGTATTATAGGTTTGATGGGGTTTGGTGCTGGTACGGTCCTTATACAGAGTAAATTACGACGATAGAATCTCTGACCATAGATAAAGAAATGATGTATAACTTGATGCACGAGGAGCACTCTCCGGATCATACCAAACATCCCTCACTGCCTTCCACAAGGTCTTTGATCAACTGCGGGGCGATCCCCAATACATTATCTATCTGATCCCCCGCGTGAAGATACGCTCGATCAAAGCTCGCTTGAAAAAAAATCTGTGCATCCACATCATCAGTACCTAGGTATCACATCACCTTGCCCATCTCGAGCAGCCATTTCCCAGGGATAGGTACGAAACTTGAATACAGTCTCCCTCCCCCGGACTATCGGCGGCATCAATTCCCTCCAATCCTTGCAAGGGATGACATAGCTCTTCTTCTCACTACCAGATAACTCCTTCTCTCCTCCCCTATCTTTACCACGAATGCCACCACCATCAAGCAAAACAATACTCCTTATAGCACAGCAGAGAAGACGTCTACCAACACTCACGGGTGCTATGGGGGTAAGAATGGACGTTGTTGTGTGCTTGCGTTGAGCGTGTCAAGGGGGTTCGTGAAGAACTTCTTCCGCGCCTAGCATGGCTTTGAAGGAGGATCCGCTCGTGGAAAGATGGCAATGCGATGTCTACGGGTGTGCAGGTAATATGTAGTTCTCATGTCTTTTCATTGTCCCAGGGACTCTTGTACTCGTTACTCTATTCTACCCAACCTCTCTACTCCAACCCATGTTGACATCCAACATCTTAGTTGCACCTTCCCCACTTGCTCTGGCACCAGTTGGCCTTTCCGCAGAAGTCCTCGCCAGAACCGCAGAAGTTGGAACCAGAGCAGCAGAGGTTGTTACCACACTTCTTGTTAACAATAGGACCGCACGTCTCTCCCTCACCCGAAGTACCCTTGGGCGCAGTGGGCTCAGCAGGCGCCTTCTGGTTGTCGCACTTTCCGAAGCCGGCCTGGCAGCCGTCGCCGCAGTACAGGTTCTGGTCCTGGATATCGTTCTTGGGGCCGCAGTGGCCGGCGGACGAGCAGCAGCGGTAGAAGAAGCCGTTTGCGCCGGCGCCGGGGCAGGTGACGCCGCCTTGGGCGTGGCCGCAGACGTCGATCTCGGGGACGGCGGTGGGGAAGGTGGTTGCGGGCGAGGTGGCTTGCTTGGTCGCGGAGGTCTTCATCGTGGTTGGGGTGGGCTTGCAGGATGAGGAGGCGCCGGAGAAGGGGTGCATGCAGTTCTTTGCGTCGCAGTGGGCGGGTGTGGTTCCGCACCAGCCGTACTGGGAGCCTATGGGGTATCGTTAGCAAGAGTTTGGAGATACGTGGGTATTGTAAACGTACAGCACTCGTTGGCAGCGCACTTGGCGTTTCCATTCTGAGGTCCGCAGTTACCAGCAAAGGCAACCGAGACCAGCGAGAGGAGGGCGAAAGCTGAGAAGCGCATCTTGATTATGATTATTCTATGTCGAAATAATTGACGTGTAGAAAGCGAGTGGACTGTCGAAACGGTAAAGAGTCGACGAAAAGATGCGTGAATTAGACAAACGACCTTGACGATAGATAGTGAAGAAACGAAACCCACAGTAGCAGCAGCTCAGCTCTTTAACAACAGCCCCTCTCGTATTGACCCATAACCCACGCACCCAATAAACACCGTCCGCCCTACCGCGCTCGTACATCTCCACATGGACTGACGCTGTCCGCAAGCCCTAGGCCCGCGCTACGAGACCGCCAGCGCTGAGGCGCATGTCAAATACGGCCGCTCGTGCCTGAACGCACGGATGCGACGTCTCCCCAAAGCGTGCAGGTTCGGAAATTTACCAATGGCAAGTTTCGGCCAGACTGATCGGGAAGGCCGGCATCTCACTCACACGAGGTTTAAGGTGATTACATCGTGATTGCGGGTTCGCTTGTTGATCGTTATGTCGCGGAAGATCTACTGGATCGTCGCCGAACGACAGCGTCATGGAAACCCAAATTCTCGTTAACCGTTGAACGCGAAAAAGAGTTACTTTCCATGCGAACCAGACGGCGGGTTGGGAAGATTTGCGACGAGTGGGAACAGTCGAGGGGATCAGCCCTAAAAGATCAAGCATCTCGCTAAATGCTGACTAGCTAGGCCGGACTCGACGCAACCCCTGACTCTCCTCTCTCTGCAGTGGTACAAAGCTTTGAGGCGTGAGCTTAGCAGGCAGGCGAGTCCCAGCTGGAATGTTGGAAAGCCCGCACGAATGGCCCAGCCCGTGCAGCCCGTTGGCATTTTGTGACGTTGTTGGACGCCTGAATGGGACGTTGGCCGAGTGTAGCTGGTAGCGAGCTCCAAATATAGCTATCGATAGGAGGCCGCATCGAGATGGGGTTGCAGAGAGCTCGGCATGAAGAAAAAGCAGAGTTGCTGGGCTCAGGTGAGCAATGCGATGCTTGGTAGTCTCCTAAGATGCATTGGAGAGTGCGCGCGTCATTGAATACGCGCGGCAGGAGCGCACGAGGTGCATGTCACGACAAAAGTGGGATGATGGATTGAAGTCGTGGTACTGTAATGTTGTGGAGGGTGCATCGTAGCCGAGGCCCAGAGCCGCATCTCTTAGATGCGGTAAGCACCACATCACGGATGTATACAAGCAGAGGTCTGCAAGTCTCTCCAGCAATAAAACCTACTTGCACACCGCGTTCGTAATACCAAATTCTCCACGCCGTGCAATACCAAACAAAATGAATCTCATTCTCTTACACGCGGCCTTATGCTTTTAAAGTTCTTCGACGGCGGTACATTCCAGCGCACATGCCCATCCAAAAACTCAACCCAGCATCTCCATCTTGGCCTCCTAATGCCATGGCTCAACACCCCGTCTTTCCTTACGCAAAATTCAGCAAAAAAGAAGGTATTTTCCGACACCGGGAATCTGATTAATTGTTAGAACCATGCTTCGAAGTGATGTTGCTGCGATGCGAACTTACCGAACCCGGGCCTTGCCGGCACTGTACAGTGAACTGACTCTGCGAGATGAGAGCGGCAAATCCTAGCCACTAGACCATATCGGAAATTGATGGAAGGATGTGAAGTTAGAACAGATAGATTGTTGGTGGTTGGGGTTGTGGTGGTGAAGTTTGTAAAATTTGTTCGTCGCCCCACCCATCACCAACGAACATGAGGCTAGCGGGATAGACGAGGAGTATGACTGGTACGAAGAGATAGAGGCGGGGTAAATGTATTTAATATTTGGTACATGCCACGAGGTTACGCAGGTGGTAGTGAACTGCCAGATCCGAGTACACAGCAAGAACTTGGTTCACCAAGAACGCCGAGGACGCGCCTATGAGACAAGACTGTGTGTATATGCTTCATCTCATATATGGATTATGTCCAAATTATCCTATGATATATCTTTCATCACTATATGTATATCAATTCCCATGCCAGTCCGTCTCATCATGTGGCTTCAGTATAGCATCACGCTTGTACCACGCAAACCAAGCAATGGCCAGTGTAATTATAAGCACCAGGGCTGTCGTCGCTTCAGTCGACACCATCGGGGTCGATTGGGCGAGTCAAAGTTCTGACTTGTCGCCTAGAGCAGGTATTTGCTGGTTGAGGTAGGACTCGAGGTGATCGATCTCGTCTGGGTCGGCGGAGTGCACCAAGTTCCTGCGCATTGTCAGTAATCTTCTTATCACCCCATACATCTGACGTACTTGTAAGTCCTAAAGTCGACCTTGAATCCGTGCTTCTCGAGCTCCTCTGCGCTCAACTTGCCCCACTTGTGCGCAACCACTTGATCCGCGTCGCCGTGACCCATGAAGATAGGCGTCTTCTGGTTGGGGTTCTCGGTCGGAATCATGTCCTTGATCTTCTTCTGCAGCAGGAGGTAGCAGCTCAAGCCGAAGATACCTCCGAGCTGTTCCTTGTATGTCACACCAGACAGCAGCGACATGGCGCCTCCTTGCGAGAAGCCTCCAACGACTACGCGGTTGGCGGGTATGCCCTTTGCGACCTCTTGGTCGATCAGGGAGTGGAAGTATTTCTGGGACTCGACGATGCCCTTTTCGTCTTCGTCGCGGTCGTCGAGCGTGCTGAGCGACTTGATGTCGTACCATCCTGGCATGCTCATGCCCATGTTCTGTGTCGCGTATCAGCGATATGCTGTGTGCTTGCGTCGGACTTGGTCAACGAACCAGTGTGATCGGGATATTGGGCGCATTGGGAAAGATGAAGGAGACTTCCTCGAACTTGCTACGTCTGCGCCAGTTCTCTGCGAGGAATATCCTACGCTGGTTAGATGTACACATGCATAATGTTGAGTCTCCTTACCAGCCAGCCCCGCTGTCACCCAGCCCATGCGCCACGATAACAGTGGCCGTGTGTCGCTTGAGCGCAGGAACTACCAAAGGCGCTTTGTGAGCCATGATGAGCTTAGTCTGAACGCGTTCAAGAGGTATCGTTAGTATCGATAGTATCGATAGACGTGGGGTAGCTCTGATCAGAGGTGACGGACTCCCGACAAAGTGGACCTCGGCGCGTTCTCGATGCGCGCTAAGGCAGGGACAAGGGCCAAAGCTCCAATCATCGTCATCGACGTCATGATACCTGCCTTCACCATTCACGCGTAGTTTCCCCTTTCCGGCCACTCACTCTTCACTTTTCGAGGTTTGCCGCTCACGAGATACCTCAAGTGATCCTGTTCTATCACCCGTCTCCAATTCGTTTGCCCAGCACGTCTCCTCACCATTGCATTCAAACTTGCCTATAAGCAACTGCTGGCATTGCGCCCAAGCCCATTGACGATCTCATCGAATCGACGTGCCATCTCCACTATACCAAGCATGGCACGAGCAACCAGGAGCTCCGCCAGGGCCGATGCCGTGCAAGCGCCAGCCATTGGCCAAGAACCAGTACAACTGTCGAGTCCACCGACTACCCCAGAGGCGCCCAATGGACGAAAGAGGAAAGCAGTCAAGGTTGAAGAGTCGCCAAACGCGACTTCCAAGAAAGCACCCGCCACACCAAAGAGCACCAAACGCGCAAAGAAGTCGGCTGTGAAGCAGGAAGATATCAACGAACTCCCACACAACCTTGGTGCTATTCCTTCCCTCCCTGTCAAGAGCGAGGAGGAAGAGAGCAAGCCCTCAGCCAAGAAGTCTAGGAAGTCTGCAAAGACAGCTAAGCCGAAGAAAGAGGAAGATGGGGACCTCGTTGCCAAAGCGACTACCACCACCGACGCCTCGCCGAAGAAGAAGAGCAAGGCCAAGACAGGTGGCTATGGCCTTACTCCAGGCCAGACACCATACCCAAACTACCCTCATCCTACGGCCGAAGAATGCGAAGAGGTGACGCGTCTCCTTTCGAAAGTCCACGGCAAGGTCGAAGCACCCAAGACCATCCCCGCACCTTCTCTCGAAGTCTCTGGTTGCGGAGAAGTACCGTCTGTCCTCGATGCGCTTATTCGAACGAGACTTTCAGCGGCCACATCCGGCACCAACTCTTCTCGCGCATTCGCCGGTCTTGTCGCCAAGTTTGGCATTCTGAAAGAAGGCGTTGGCAAAGGCAGTGTAGACTGGAACAAAGTGCGACAAGCAGACCAGAAGGAGATCTTCGAGGCGATCAAGAGCGGCGGACTCGCAGACGTGAAGAGCAAAGATATCAAAAAGATTCTGCAGATGGTCTGGGAAGAGAACCAGGCGCGGCGCGACGAGCTGTTGTCTTCATCAAACAAAGCCCCTGGCTCCGCGAACGAGGCACCGGCCGAGAAACACGCAGAGGTCGAGAAGGCAGATCAGAACATCGTCTCACTCGACCACCTGCATCTCCTCTCCAACGACGACGCCTTCAACGCACTAACAAAGTACCCCGGTATCGGCCCCAAAACCGCATCCTGCGTCCTCCTCTTCTGCCTCCAACGCCCCTCCTTCGCCGTCGACACCCACGTCTTCCGCCTGTGTAAATGGCTAGGCTGGGTACCTCCTCCCGGTGATCCTGCAGGCCTCGCACCCGGCGCAAAGGGCACCTTCGCAGGCGCAAACCGCAACTCAACGTACGCGCACTGCGAAGTCAGAGTACCTGACCACCTCAAGTACCCGCTTCACCAACTGCTCATCAAACACGGAAAGACCTGTCCGAGGTGTCGCGCGATAACGGGAGAGAGCAGTGAAGGGTGGGATGAGGGGTGTCCGATTGATCATCTTGTTCAGAGGACTGGTGGGAGGAAGGAGGGTGGTGGGAGTCCTGTTAAGGGAGCTGGGGGCAGTGCGAAGAAGAGCAAGAGCAAGAAGAAGGTTGTGGAGGAGTATGAGAGTGATGCGATGAGTAGTGGGTTGAGCGACGCTGAGAGCGAGGTGTTGAGCGATGTGGTTAGTGATGCGGAGGTGGAGGAGTCGGACGAGGAGGCCGAAGCGTCTGAGTGAAGGAGACGAGTCTATTTTGCGTCATATCAGGACATCTATTTCGGTAAATAACGGTTAGGCCAGGGGCCGCCAGTCATTTCCTTCACTTGTACACTATTTTCTCATATTTATTCACATCTAGCATTTGATATTTTATCCTAGCAAGTCTTCAGCTATGTCCTGTTCTCGCCAGCCATGACACCATGTCCCTCGACATAAATTTCTCTCTCAAACGCGATTGCACATGCGTCATCGCAGTACCAGCCCGGCGGGCGTGTCGCGAATCAGCACATTACTCGATGCACACAACCCAACGCTCTTGAAAAAAATCTTTTATTCGAAACATACAAACACACACAAATCGATATATATGCCCGCTAACCCCCTCAAATGCCCCCATCACCCCCCAGCGCCCCAGTCAAACTCTTCATCCGCCGCCCCAAAAGATCATCTTCACTCGCCAGACTAACCAGACTCTTTCTTCTGCCCCGGTCACTCTTCATCCTGCCCCTCTCCCTTCCAACCCCTCTCACACCATTCACACCATCATTGCCTTCTTTCTGCGGGCTCCTCTTCCCCTTCCCCAGCACCGTCATCTCCAACGGCCTATCCTCATCCGCCGAACTCGCCGTGCCAGACCTACGATGATGTCTCCTGCGACTGAATTTCGGACTCGTGAGCCCATCGATAGCATCTGCGAGGCCTATCGTGCCGAAGTAATCGCCTCCTTCTCTTCTCCTTGTAGTCGTACCCGCGGCAGGCGTATACCCCGGTGTCTCGGCATCGTACCCATATCTTCTCGAGTCTGTTTCTTCAAAAGCCTCGCTAATCCATTTCCCGCATTTGAAAATATACTTCCAGCCTTCGGGGAATACACCGACGAACTGGAGGAAGCCGTGGCTTATACCGGGGACGAGATCGACTACGACGCTATCTTCCTCGTTGAAACTTCCCCTCGCCCAATCTAGACCTAGCTCTTTCGCTGCGACCCATTCTGCGCGTTTGGCCTGTCTCAACCGCCCAGCAAAAATGACGGTGTCATCGACCAAGGGGTCGCGCTCGCCTGTCAACATCCAAGTGCGTGGGAATTTTGCTAGGAGGGATTCTGGTGCCAGGAGAGGAGAGAGAAGGTAGTCTGTGCTGAAATCGGGACGGTGGTGCGGGCCGATGTAGAGGATTATCATGGCGCGCATCATTTCGGGGGTGAGGATGCGGTCGTTGAAGTAGGATATCATGCTGGACATTGCGAGGCGGGTTTTGATGGCTGTAGCGGGTGGTGCGGGGACAGAAGCGCCACCTGGAGTGGGAGGCTGGGTTGCGAGAGGTGTTGGGGGGAGACTTGTGCTTTGGCTGGGAGGTTGCTGGAGAGTGGCGGTACTGCTATCTTGGCCTGTATGTGCGGCAGAAAGCTTGATCATGGTCTGGGGAGATGTGATCTCGCCGCCGTTGGCCTTGGGCATAGACCCGTTGACCATGCTCACTTTGGTGCGCTCGTCCTCACTATCCGAATCATCAGAGCCATACGGTGTATTCGGTGCGAGTTGTCGGTAGTCATCGCTCTTGTGCCGTAAGATAGGTCGATTCGTCTTTCTCACGCGTCGGTCGCGGATGAGGGCCATTTGCTCGTCCGTCATCCAATTTCCAATGTTCATGTCGAGCGCTGGGTAGATAAGCACCACGCCGATGGGAGGTGGTATAGGGGATTCGCCCTGCCATCTTCGTGTCTCTGTGGAACCACTCTGAAGTATCATGAGTATCATGGCCACAGCCAAGTTCCCGCCAGCTGAATCGCCAGATACGACAACCTTCGGCTCTGCTTCCCCTGACAAGCCCATGCAAGTTCCTCTCGACGCGATGATCATGTGATAGACGTCGTAGCATTCGTTAAGCGCATATGGATACGGGTGTTCAGGCGCCTTCTTGTAGTCCAGACTCAGAACAGGGAGTCCCGTCTTGCCAGCCCAGCCCATGAGCTTATCATCGTGGTTCCTTGGGTTCATAGCAACAAAACCACCTCCGGGGATATCCAGAACAACTTTATCTTGCTTCTTTAATGCACTCCGCGGTCCGTTGAAGTACAGCCAACCCGTTACTGGCTCTTTGTACGAACTAGCTCTCGGTCGTGGTATGCGAATCTGGCGCGGCGGATAAACCATCAGCCTCGGCCGCATCATGCTCGTCAGCGCACCCAGATACGGTGTCGTTCCTTTGTTCCATGCCACGCGCAGGTGATCCACTGTGAGCGTCGCTCTGATCTTCCTGACTTTCTCATCTGCCTGCTCAGCACATATCATGTAGTATATGCTGAACACAATCGACAGCAGATCCCTTACACCTTTCCGTTTTATTCGCATAGCAGACCAGAAGCCTGCGTCCAGCGCAGTTGTAACCCATGTCGCGCGGAAGTATGAACGCGAGTACAGGCTTGCGAGTGGCTCGGGACACTCGAGGCCAACGAGCTTGCCGAAGTTGCGGGCGACGTAGAGGTAGAGCAGTGTTATGAGGACGGATTGCCAGACGGTGAGTTTCTTGGAGAGAAGGGCGGATATGCGGCGAAGGATTGGTGGGCCATGGCGGTCGCCTCTGTGTGTCTGTTAGTATACAATGATGCGGTTGTAAGAGTAAATGTTTGCGTACCTGTAGAGGTAGAACGACCAAAAGGACACTACAGCCAGTACTTGTATCTTCCTAAACTGCACCGACGGCCGTCCCAATACATGGTCTATCATGACTGTACCTCTCTCCCAGCACAAACAGCTATAACGAACCCAGTGAATACAGTCGCAGGTCTTTTGTGCGTCATGAAAGGCGTCAAGTCGGGTCTCCACGTGGTGTCGCAGGGCTTACGATGTCGGCAATGCGAGTGTTGTAATTCGTAAGCATGTGAATGTCACGTCGCAATGTCAAACCCGGTGTGGATCCGTCTGGGGTAACGGGGAAAGGTATGGAAATGGGGGAAGGCCAGGTCAGCCGTCCTGCGTGGTTTGTCCATGACTACAGGAATAGCCGTTCAGCCCGTCGACAAGCGGCGGCGCATTAGCTGATTTGAGGCTGTGTGGTTGGGTGAGCGTCGAGCATGTGACAGGTTTGTGGAGGAAGCGTGCGTGCGCTGCCATCATGTGAAAGCCGCGCTATGACCTCTTTTCGGCTTTGTTGCTGTTCGCCCCGAGGAGGCTAGTCGCGCACGTGTTGCACTAGCGTTATCCGCCTGAGCCGCAGTCCGACATTACCTACTGCACCTCTTTATCACGTTCACTTTATAGGACTCACATGCTTGCTTCCGACGATGCCAGAGCGACAAGCCACGCACGATTTCCGTAACACATAATCATCATATACGTACAGGTACAGTACACAATGACCCATTGCTACCTAGGTAACACGCGACTTACAGCTGCCAAGATCCATTTCGCTCAGCACATTAGGCCCTCTCGGATGGATAGTATCACTAAACCAAGAGCTATCAAACGAGAAAACGCCCAGTCATCACAGGCAAGGACACTAGAACATTATTTCGAAAGATATGATGTGCCCTGTTGACAGACAGCTACCAGATCATTCTGCAAGGCTGTGACTTGGCATTGATCTAGAAGGCTGGAGATCCCGCGTCGAGCTGCAAGGCTGAGATACGGAACTGATCTAGACTGCTAAGTTGTTGGTTTCTGGAATTGGCGACACCCCTCATTGGAGATGATCTGGTTGTATAGGTATACCATTGATCCTAGAAATCGTGGGTCTCGTCACCGATGAGCCTTCGGCCGACGAGGCTGAGATTTGGCATCGGTCTGGATTGCTGAAATCCCGCGTCAACCCACGAGACTGAGACACAACGTCAAATAAGATGTCAGTCTGTTACGCCCACCCTTGCCTTTTTGGCGAAACCGTAATCACCACATGTCCCGTGATTCATCGAGAAGTCGCACGGCTGCTACGAGAGAACTGCTACTGGTTCCACAACATGTATGTTGCTGCGCGTCGATATGTCTCTAACCTATCGCCAGGCTAGAAGACTGCCGGGGTATGCATCTCGATACTTTGAGGCTGCCTACCCTGGTTACATTCGTTTGGGGGCCGTTCTGATTCTGGGCCAGACAGCCGACGCAATTATCTCAGCATGGGGCCAGCTTCAGAGTTCGTGGCCTCATCGATGCTACATCGCGCCTGACTTTCTCTTTCCCACACCAGCCGGTTGAGCAATTCCTCCAACTCTTCCTTCTCTTCGAATCGCCATGACGACCAATCGCATAGATTCCAGCTTTGGGCGACGGGTCTCGCTAGGGTCAGGCAGCGACCACATCTCCAAGCGTCAGGTTGACTCGATCATCTCACAAGTCATATCTGAAGTTAGCGGGGTGCCACCTAGTTCGCAACCTCCTCCTCCTCAACCATTTACTTCAGAGGCCCCTCCGCCTCCGCCATTTAGTTCACAAGCTCCTCCGCCAGCTCAATCTTCCGCTCCTCCACCACCTCAATCTTCAGCTACTCCACCACCTCAATCTGCCGTCCATAGTAGCGCTCCCTCGATCATCAGGACATCGATCGCTTCGTCAATAGGTTCCGAGACCGTGTTCAGTTCAACTATAGGACCGCTGGCCTCGAGCACACAAAGCGTCAACGGCGCGTTGACTTCACAGTCACCAGATGAGAACGTGCCAACAGCGGCGTCAGAGAATAACGGTGCAGGTCTAGGAGGCGGTGCAATTGCTGGAATAGCCATTGCAGGTGTCCTCGTTATCGCATTCATCGGGGGATGGTACTTCTGGCGGCGTAGGAGACGCACAAGAGGAAAGCCCACGAGCACTGAGAATAATGACCAGACTGAAACATACGGGGATGGGGGCATACCAGAGCTCCATACGCAAGAGCGGCCACAAGAAATGGCAGGAAGTCGTCGGGCGCAAGCACAAGAGCTGGATCCTACACAATACTCCAAGTACGCCATGAGTGGATCTCATGAGCTTAAGACCGAGTCTGAGCCAGTTGAGTTGCTGAATGGTCCCGACGAATACACTGCACCAGTCCCGTACCACGTTTCGCAACGATCACCCGCTGAAATGACGGAGACGACGAACACTACACAGTTATCGAATGTTGAAGCGCAACGGAGAAGAGAGATGGAATGGCTGGAGATGGAGGAAGAGAGAATACGGAAGCGGCGGGAATTGCTTGCTGTGCAGGGCGGTGCGAAAGGCTTGTAGTGGACTAATACAGTCTTAGAGAAACACATGATGGACCGGGCTACGGCTTCGAAAGTCGCGCCAAGCCTGTCTCAACGCGAATGTGCCATCGGAAATCACCTTCGAGCATGCGATTGCCCAGGGGCTCCTTCACCTTTTGACCGCTTTATTCGCAACGCTCAGGTCGATGTCGAGATGAAATTTTGCGCAAAACAAAAAGCATATCTATACCCATGCACGTCTCAAAACCAGAGAATGCCAGACGTTATCGTCTGCCGACGCATCGCACCGAGTCAAAAGCAACCAACACCTTCCTGCAACCCAAACTGCGACCTCCATACCCATCACTCTACATCCTGCATCGGAATGACGATAATACCCTGATTGTACCGGTACACAAGAAATTCTCGTCGAATGAGAAGTTGGTCCTTCATGCACAGCCTTGCACGCTTGACTGTGCCGCAAACTCCATCTCCGCGTTTGATTCGACGGAACGTCACAAGACCTGTGTGGAAGGGCCGATGCATGACTTTCAACGTGTAGGTAGGTGGGTACCTTTGTATCTTTGACCTATCGCATAGAAGGTATGCTCGTGGCGATGTGCAGCAGTGTGTGGAGGTACCCCGCCCGCCTGCGATGATGTATTCATCTTGGAACGACCTGCTGGACACGGGTTTATCTGCCCCTCTACCTTGACATTTGTACGACCTTGTGCTCCGATATCCTACATCAAGCTACATACATCGATCCAGATCTTTGCCGTCGCACGCACATCCCACAATGTCCGACTCACCAGCTAACACATACGCCTGGTACGTCGAGGAGTGGTATTCTGCCACTGGGGGCTACCTAACTACCATATATCTCTCAGACAGCGCAGACGATTGGTCAACCACTCTGAACGCGATAGTCGCAACAAACTCGCCGCGCGGTGTCCAGCTGCCCGGAGATACGCACTTTGCAACGGTTGGAGAAACCCACGTTTTCAATGGTATTGAGATTTCGGTTACAACAGATCCGGATCAGATATATCTTCGCCGCAGTCCGATCACGTCAGAGTCGAGCGTTGTGGAACAAACGTTGATACCACCGGCAGAAATCCCAAGACCAACTTCCACTAGCTCAGGCAGCTCAAGCTCAGAGAGTAGCGCGAGTGAAATACAGTCTGGAGATAGCAGTCAATCTACCGCAACCGCATCCGCCAACGAAAGCAGCAGTCCAGGCCTAGGAGGCGGTGCGATCGCCGGAATCGCTATAGGCGGTATACTCGTCCTTGTTCTGATAATCGGAGGATGGTATTTCTGGCGACGAAGACAGCGTTCGAAAGCGAACACTTCAGGTTCGGGAGACGATGAACAAGGCACGAGGGTCGTAAGCACTGGAGGGCCACCGCCACAGTACTCTCCGCCGGAGAAACAACCCTACATCCCAGATCATCATCAAGAAATGCCGGGCGATATAGTCATGCCAGCGCAAGAGTTGGATCCAAATCAGTCCGCCAAATATGCGACGCATGCAGCACGGCATTCTACGAGTAAAGCAGTGTATCAGTATGAGCCGGCGTATGAGCTTCATCCTGATGGTAGACCGGCGGAATTATCACACGGCGGAGAGGAACAAAGTTCGGCAGTACACAGTCACAGACCTCAAACACCAGTAAATCAGACCGACGCTGGAGGGGAAGCTGGAGAAAGGAGTGCTGCAGTGTCACCGAATGTAGAAGCGCAAAGAAGACGCGAAATGGAGTGGTTGGACATGGAGGAGGAGAGGATACGGAAGAAGAGGGAGACGCTTTCTATGCAAGCAAGCGGGAAGAGTCCATAACGCCTTTACTGTTTCGATGGCATTCTCGTTTATTAAAAACTATCATAATGTAATTTCTAGTTCGAACAACTCGAACGCAAGATGGTGAGGCACAGACGACACCCGCTAGGCCCAAAGGATCGAACGTCATGTGTGATTTTGGCCGCATCTTCGGCCTGAGGAATATCCAATCAGTGCGCAACCGCATGTGGAGAATTGGGGGCCAGAAAAGGCTGATTGGAAAACGCGATCATGGAACTGACTGCGGCACGGTGACCTCTACGAACAGTTGCCGTGAATCAATGGAGAGCGGCAAGCGCATCGAGCGCAGAAGCCGCCTGTTTTTACTTTACAGCCCTTCTCTATCACAACGGTAAAGCTTGGCTAACATCTAGGCCAAATGATGTGTACAGCAGGCTGCATTCTGGCTCGCTGGTTCAGATACATATAGTTGGAGGACGTGATTGTCCAGCGAATGAAAGCCATGCGCAGCTAGTACAACATCTTGGCCGCGCTCGCAAAGGAAAGCGCTTGACTAAGTTCGGCGCTCAAATCTACCCCCAGACCTGGGTGTAGACCGATGAGTTCAACCTCGCCGCAATGAAACCCTCCAAGCCTCGTTCAGGCTGTATACGGGTACGCTGAGGCCCTGATCAGGGAGTATGTCTTATGCCGTCTTACTTCAAAGCAGCTACCCGCTTCGTTTCTGTCTAGGTCCACATTTCGAGTCTTCACTTCTTGCAGTCGCATGCTCGTTGAAGTCTTTTATTGAGCAACGTCTCGGTAACACCAGCCAGAATACTGCAGACACATTGAACATGTCTACATCCGCATGGCAAACCGCACGGATCAACACCAAGACCGACGATCCGTATACGACGACTCTGCGGAGAGATGACATCCCACTAGCAACAATCACAGTGCACATAACACCAACGCTTGAACTTCGATTCCCAGAAGCCCCGCCACTACAAACAAGCTCCACCATGACATCAGATCTTCTTTACATCTCCATCCGCGGCGAAGACGATGGAATGGCGATTCTGTACTCGACTCGTACGGACTTTTCATACTCACGGAGTTTGGCGATGGCCAAGTCGAAGTCACTAAGCTTGCCATCGTCAACGAGAACTGGAGATGCGATCGCGTCCAAGTCGCCTCGGCCTAATCGAACCTCACGCCGTAAACATACCTCAAGCGGCACTATCGCTGGCATAGCAGTAGGAGGCGTCCTCATCCTCGTGTTCATCATAGGTGGCTGGTCCTTCTGGCGTCGAAGAAAACGCGCAAAGTTTACTACAAGCAAGAACGCCCCTGCGCCCGAAGGGCAAACGGGACGAGATGATGAGAAGATACTCTCCGACAAACCCACATTCGGTGCGCGTCAAGAGACGTCTGGCGACAGTCAAGCGCAAGAGCCTCTCACTTCGCACTCATCCAAACATGTGGCGCATGAGCATGGATCCGATGATATAACGGGAGAATTACCGCATACTGAAATGGGTGGAACAAACGACGATGGAAATATGGGGGTGCCAACCACGGCCACTGCAAGAGATGATACTGCTTTGCATGTTTCGCCACATGTAGAAGCGCAAAGGAAGAGAGACGTGTGATGGCTGAAGATGGAAAAGATAAGAGATACTTTTGATGCAAGGATTGGGAAGATTGATGAGGGTGAAGAGGGTGACTGAACATCCTCTGGAAGCAGCGTTGGAAGCGAAGGAGACGAAGTCGAAAGTGGTCCTTAGACACACGTGTAGGAGAACGAGACAGACTTGGTAGAGAAGCGCTGCGATATGGGATTTTACTTTGGGTTTTGGGTTAGTTTGGTGGTGTAGGAATGTACCAAGGTTTATTAGCAGAAACTAATGCCTGGGAGCATAGGAGGGACGGCAAGCGCATTTACCTAGGTAGCCTCGTTCTGCGTCACTGCCCATATCTATTACAATTGTAGGCTGCGGCTGACATCTAGGCCATATGTCATGTAACATAAGCTGCATTTTTACCCCGCGCGACACGGCAGCAAAGGATCGAATCAGCGTTGGTGTAGATACACATATTTAGGGGCGAAAACTTTGTGGAGCGAATGGGCGGCATGCGCTGCCAACACCACATCTTGGCAGCGCTCAAAGGAGCAATGGTCTAACTAAATCCGGCGCTCAATCTATAGATTGATGTTTTCAACTTGCTGTGATGGCAATCCTCCAAGCCTCAATCAGGCTGTGAGCACGCACGCTCCAGTTCTGAACAAGGTGCATATCTGGATCGTTTTACATGGTATCAAACTAGATGATTTTCTGTTACCATCTAAATCCATCTTCCTATTCCGTCATACCTACCTTTCCTCGCATGTTCATGGATTTATCTATTCCGTTATAGAGCAGCGGCCATCTACCGCCGTGCCGATGATACTGGATGGTTGCCGACAATGACAGATCAATCCTCTGAAACAACATGGGCCTCCATAACACTCATCCAGACGTTTTCACATATCGGCATCAATGTTTATCAGTCATCTCTGTCCTGGAATGGCTCATATCTCATGACCATTACGATAGAAGAGTCGCCGACGCTTGCAGTTGAGATAACCTCCACTGGTAACCCTAAACCGCGCGTTACGATACGCAATGGAGGACCAACTAGAACAGTACACAGCCTCATTCTGTCTCTTCAATCGAACGTACTCTTTTTCACTGTCGATTCGGAGCTTGCAGTATCATCCTCGTCAATAAGTTCGACACAAGTAACAAAGCCACCTCGTTCTACCCGAACCTCACGTCCCAGTCCTACCCGAAACCGCAAATCCAAGTCAGGCATAGGGAGTGGCGCAATAGCCGGAATAGCGATAGCAGGCATCGTCATCCTCGCCGTCATAATTGGAGGATGGTACTTTTGGCGGCGCAAAAAGCGGAGGGCGCAGCCACCCACGACCACCCTCACCGACGACGAACTAGCGAGGCGAGAAGGCGACGGCGACAAGATGGTCCTCGGTGCAGATCAGTCCGCCCCTACGGCTGGCGCATACCAAACACAATACCAAGAAATGTCAGGCAACGGCCTTACGCAGGAACTAGATCGGTCGCACTCGTACAAATACGCGGTGGGAGGAGCGCATGAGCTTAGGGCTGAGGATCAGCCGGGAGAATTGCCGTATAATGGGATGGAAGAACATGGGCGGGCGAATGAGACTGGGTTGGTCGGAAGGAACGATGGAG